CTGAGAGGAGTAGGCTATTGGTTATTTTTCCCAAATGCATGACTTGGTGGAGAAAGGATATTTTGTTTTCTGAATATGTCTCTCAGCCTACACGATCCCAGTATTTTATATCCCCACTTATATTACTTCCATTTTTTAAGGCCATGCAGCTTAAAGAATATAAAATTTGAAACAGCCCATGAACATTTTTTCTCATACAAGCTAATTAAGAGGCGAGGAAGAAATAAAACAGTTGCTAATTTTTTTTGGAGATTTTGTTGTTTGGAATAAATAGAGCTTAGTGAAAACCAGTTCATCTTAAGCCAATGTGTATAGGTTGGAGTCTTGCTCCCGATCCTATAACCTCTGACTTTGGCCAAGTTTACATACAAGAAGGATAATAAGAGTAATGAAATCATAAGTTTTTTGTGAAGACTAAATCAATTTGAACATATGTCATATTTAAAAGAGTGCTTGTGGGGTGCCTGGGGGCTCAGTCGGTTAAGTGTCCAACTTCAGTACAGGTCATGATCTCGCGGTTTGTGAGTTCGAGCCCCACATCCGGCTCTGTGCTGACAGCTCAGAGCCTGGAACCTGCTTCAGATTCTGTGTGTGTCTCTCTCTCTGCCTCTCCCCTGCCCATGCTCTGGTTTTCTCTGTTTCTTAATAATAAATAATTGTAAAAAAAAAAAGAGTGCTTGAAAAAAATAAATGGTAGCTAAGCTTATTTCTCATAACTTTTTAGATATATACAACTTACTTTTCTTTTTGTTGTTTTATATATATACATATATATCTATGCATACACACACACATATACACATACATAGATTCTAATGTGTGTGTGTATAGATAGATAGATATAGTGTGTGTGTATAGTATGTGTGTGTGTATATATATGTATATATACATATATATAATGTATATTCATAGCAGTTTTCTCCTTAGATAGCATAGATTCTAATGTATATCCAGTAGCAGATTTCCCCTTTGATAAAATATTCAATCAAGTCTTCCATAGGGAATAAGATATTCATTCTGGTAAAATTTTTATTAATCACCTTTATTTTCTTTAGCAGAAATGTGATTATCAAAGTAGTCAAAGGAAAACTTATTCAACTTAAAATTCATTGATTCACAGGTAAGAGAATATAAATCAAGGGAAAGGATGTAAATAAAGAACTTGGCATTTCTAATTCCTTAATCTTAAATAATGGGAAAATTTAAATGTCTCAACAAAACAAGCATCTGAAGTTAAAACCAATCACCTTTGCCACCAAATTATCTTTTCCTCCCTACCTAAAATACATATTAAATATTTATTTAATAGAATATATTTTTACATATTAAATATTTAAAGAAAAATGGACAAAAGTTCAGGACTAAACTCTTATTTTTCTCTAGAATTAGTTTAATAAGGTCTAATAGTTAATTTATTATATATAAAACACATTTTTAATTCCTAAAATGTTAATTATTTTAATATTTCTACACATACATCATAAAAACCCAAAATAGATTTAAAAAATTAGTGCTTTGTTTGTATGTTACAAAGGTTTTTTTTCCAAATTTGATTTTTAAATTTTGTCTATAAAAATATTTTACTATGCAATTTAAAAATTTATTATCTAGCTGAATTGCTACTTCCTACAAGACTTTTGGGTTCTACATTGTGCTAGAATGTCTTTCTCATTTGAAAAAGCATCCATTTTAACATTACTTCTTTGCCTTTTAACTGTTTTCAAACTTACCCAAAGCAATCTATACATTTACTATAACCCTTAACAAAATACCCAATATTTTTTACAGAGCTAGAACAAACAATTCTAAAATTTGTATGGAACCACAAAAGATCCCAAATAGCCAAAGTTATCTTGAAAAAGAAAAGCAAAGTGGAGGCATCACAATTCTGGACTTCAAGTTATATTACAAAAAAATACTGGGTATTTTGTTAAGGGTTATATTAAATGTATAGATTGCTATGGGTAAGTTTGAAAACATAGTTAAAAAGCAAAGACGTAGTATTAAAATGGATGCTTTACTTAACTGAGGACCATGGGGGGAGAAAAAGGGGGGAAATGGTGGGGGAAAGGGAGAGAGGCAAACCATGAGAGACTCTTGAATGCTGAGAAACAAACTGAGGACTGATGGATGTAGAGGGGAGAGGGGAGATGGGCATGGAGGAGGACACTTGTGGGAATGAGCACTGAGTGTTATATGGAAACCAATTTGACAATAAACTATTTGTAAAATAAAAAAAAAAAACTGAGGTGGTCAAGACAATATGGTACGGGCCAAAAATAGGCACATAGATCAAAGAATAGAATAAAAAACTCAGAAATGAACCCACAACTATATGGCTGATTAATCATCAGCAAAGCAGGAAAGACTATCCAATGGAAAGAAGACAATCTTTTTAACAAATGGTGTTGGAATGCAAAAGAATGAAACTGGAATCTAGTTTACAGTTTTGAGGACACTTTTGCAAATATTTCATATTTGCACTGAAATATTAGTTTAATAAGGTCTTCATGGCCTAAACTAGGTGACTGACTGCCAGCAGCTTTCAACTTATCAAATATAATTTTGAAGACTATTATAAACAAAAATATAATACAAAAGTTTTTATTATTTTGATCAGTTATGCTACAAAGTGACAAAAGACTGGAAAGGGATCTTTTGAGGTCATTTAATCATGCTCTTTTAAGTAAAAACCATTTTCCTTCCATGGATTCATGGGGAGGGGGGATTGCCAATTTGCTATATTTCATATCTGATTTTAATAGAGTATCTTTTCAAATTGCTTTCAATAAAATTCCTTCTTAGCCATTTTAAACTTTTCCCTTATTTCCGGAAGTGAGTTTCATAACACCTTGTCATAATGAGACTGTATATTTAAATCAAATTTCAGAATTCAGTTTTTTTCCTTAAGAATAATTCTGATCACCTTAAAATTCCCTTCTCACTGTTTTGATTTTATTTGTACTTTAATAATCCTTATGGCTTTTCTTGAATCCATTACAAAGCTGTTCTGGAAATAGAAAACAATGAAAAGATCAGAGTCTGATCAAGAACAGTCTGGTCTTGGGGCGCCTGGGTGGCTTAGTCGGTTAAGCATCCGACTTTCACTTAGGTCATGATCTCGCGGTTCGTGGGTTCGAGCCCCGCGTCGGGCTCTGTGCTGACTGCCAGCTCAGAGCCTGGAGCCTGTTTCACTCTGTGACTCCCTCTCTCTCTGACCCTCCCCTGCTCACGCTGTCTATCTCTCTCCTAGAAATAAATAAAATATTTAAAAAAAAAACGTAGAACAGATTTCATAAAAAAAAAAAAAAAAAGAACAGTCTGGTCATGTACGTAAAATATCACATGATTTAAATAGTGCATAATCAATAAATGCCAGTTTAGCAGATGAGTGATTAAGTGAAAGTATTGTACAGTTTGGCCATTAAGTACAGGCAGAATGGCAGGATGGGGTTGAACATCATCCTTAATTTCTTCATCTATAAAATGGCTTATTCTAATTGTAAATAGTGAAAAGACTTTATCAGGAATATATATTACCATATGTATAGTAGTTAAAATAGAGATGGTCTCTAATAATCATTATGAAATTATTTGCCATTAGAAATATTAAGATTTAAATAAGCAAACAAAGATAAACTGGAATAAATAGTTTGAAAATAAATGTGCACCTCAAAAAGAAGGCTAAAATAAAATAAAAAATCTTTTGCCTTCAAGCTGTTAGTCTCATATTCCTAAAATGTATATAAAATACTAGAATTGGAGGGTATTAAAAATCTTCTCATGTATTTATATAATCCCACTCAATTCTCACTTTCATAAAAAAATGTGACATGTAAATTCACATGTAATCCCCTATATTATGCAAAAAGATTATGTAGATACGTGGATCAAGGATCTGTAAACTATAGCCCTTCACCCAAATCCATCTCACTGCATCTTTTAAGTAAAGTGTTATTGAAAAATGATTATGTCCATTCCCGTACATATTGTCTATGGCTGCTTTTACACTACCATATCAGAGTTGGGAAGTTACAAAAGGAGCCCTGTGGCCCACGAGAATGACAGGATTTGCTCTCTGGTCCTGACCAAATAAAGGTTTACAGATACATTTACAGATATATGAAGAAGAAAAGGCACACAGAGATTAAATATATTACCAAATACATTTGAATTTATGTAAAAATAAAATACTTCTACCATTTCGAATCAAATTGTATAATCCATTAAAGATATTTGCATCTTGGGGCACCTGGGTGGCTTAGGTCATGATCTCGCAGTTCATGGGTTCGAGCCCCGCATCGGGCTCTGTGCTGACTGCCAGCTCAGAGCCTGGAGCCTGTTTCAGTCTGTGACTCCCTCTCTCTCTGACCCTCCCCTGCTCATGCTGTCTCTCTCTCTCTTTCCTAGAAATAAATAAAACATTAAAAATTTTTTTAAAAGATATTTGCATCTAGAATTAAATACTGATCAAATAAATCCATTTTTTTCTTTTCTTTCTTTTTTTTTTAAGACGTAACAAGTTCTTGAATTCTATCAGCTAGTAATTTTGATTAGGAGAAACTAAAAGCAACCCAAACAATTATACTAGTATTCATTATTCTAACCCTTAGCCAGAAAAGACTAGTTTAAGGCTGGCTGCTGCTTCACACAAGTTACAAATAACTATTTACTACTTTTTCATAGATAAAGCCCCTGACCTTTAAGAAAGCTATAGGGAAAAAAAAAAATATTTAATTCCTTTTTTCTTAAAAAAAAAAAAAAAAGTTTGTTTTTGTTTTTGTTTTTACTACATGTAAGAAAGAAAAAGTATTGATATATATGTTGCTTGGGCTAAAAGGCATTGGAAACAGACAACGCATACAAGTTAAATTTCTAAGAAATCTGAGGGAAAAGGAGAAAGATCTTTGGATAAGCTCTAAGTCTGTACAAAGGAGCTAGATCTGCTGTTCTCCAAGAAGTGAAGGGGCCTACTATAGGCACACACAAATTATCTAATGCCTTTCCACAAGAACGTAACTCCAGCTTTGCCAAAGCCTCATAAGCAGGAAGGCACCTAAGATGCCGACCCGCGCGCAGAGCTGCTCCTTCGTCCCCTATCCGTTTATGCGGTAGTTTTCGTGGATTTCTGGCCGGATGTCACAGACAAAGGCCAAGAGGTTAGCCAGGACTTCCTCCCTGTTCTGCTGGAAGTATGTCTGCAGGATGGTCATCTTCTCCTGGGTCTCCTTCTCCACCTCGGTGCTGCAGCTGCCCTGGCAGCCCAGAGCCGCAGCTTCCTTGACCTTGAACTCCTTCTCTCTTTGCTGGCGGTACTGTTCAATTTCAGCCTGAGCTGCATCTTTGGCCGGCTTCAGCCTCCGGTTCTTTCGCTTGCGGGCCTCTGACACCTTCTCGGCGGCCAGCTTCTCGGCCTGCAGCAGCGGCTGGATGCCCTGCGCCTGGCTGGCCACGGCGGCGGCGATTCTGAGGCCGAGGCAAACGGCCTAGAACCAAATAAATCCATTTCTTTACAACTGATTAAGTTTACTCTTTGAACTATTAATGTGCTTAATATATTCAGCGATGGGTACAAGTAAAAGAGTACATGTTAAATATAGAGAATATTTAGATAACACACATTGTTGGGAGCCCTTTTCTGAACTCATAGGTTGAGAAAACTATGAGTTTTCCTTATGAGGTTAAGGTAAATTGCATGGACTCTTACCGTCAGATGGCGACCCCAATATCCACCCGCACCCAATTATTTCAGCTTGAGTACCAACCCCCAAGTCACCTTGTTAATTGATATTAGGAGTGACTCATTCTGGCTTTGATATGCTGATTGCACTTTGTGAAGAAACTTACTAAAGGAATTTCTTCTTTAGGAAGGAAGGAAGCAGTCTTCAGAAAAGGAAAAGCTTAAAGCAATGTCTAGCAGCATTGCAGTTTTGATGTAGATGATATTTATAGTTTGATATAATTGGATATTAAAGGAAAGATGTCAGTGCTTTCCAAATTGATTCCCAGTTTTTACTTAATTTTTAAAAATATTTATTCATTTATTTATTTTTAGAGAGAGAAAGAGACAGAGAGTAAACCAGGGAGGGGCAGAGGGGGAGAGAGAAAAACCCCAAGCAGGCTCCACACTGAAAGTGTGGATGTGGGACTCCAACTCACAAAATATGAGATCATGACCTGAGCTGAAATCAGGAGTTGGATGTCAACCCGGTGCCCTTCCCAGTTTTAATGCAATTCCTATCAAAAGTTTGGTAAAGATTTTGGATGACATAAAAGTTTTTTACTAATGGGGTGCCTGGGTGGCTTAGTCAGTTAAGCATGGATTTTGGCTCAGGTCATGATCTCGTGGTTCATGGGTTCAAGCCCCACATAGGGCTCTGTGCTTACAGCTCTGAGTCTGAGGCCTGCTTTGGATTCTGTGTCTCCCTCTCTCTCTGCCCTTCCCAGCTCATGCTCTGTGTCTCTCTGTCTCTCAAAAATAAATAAATGTTACAAAAAATTTTTTATAATTACTTATAATTGATATGCAAAGTCATGACCTTACAATAGCAAAGGAAAAAAAAATCTTGACCAAGAAAAATTATGGGGAATAAGCTTAGGAATTGCCTAAGCTTGCCCCAATGGGTTAACAAGGCTTACAGTGAAAACAGCAACAGGGCAAAAGCCCCCCAGCATAGAACAAAAGCTTAGAGAGAGATCTTCCATAGGACAAACATGTCCAGAATAGGTAAACAGGTAAACAGGGCTTAACAGGGCTTAAGAGCACCACAGCAGGGAGAAATTGCATGGGGCTAGTTAGGAAAAAAANAAAAAAAAAAAAAAAAAAAAAAAAAAAAAAAAAAAAAAAGCCTTGTTGACACTGAGGTATCATGCTCTATCTGTCTTATCCTCTAGGCAAGTTAAGGGAAACAGATATGGCTCCTGGAACCTACTGGAATTGGCCATCTGCTTGGCACTGGGATTTTGTTTTGTATTGACACAAACCCCTAACACTGGGTATCTTCAAACCCCCCTTTCTCTCACACACTTGAGTTAATGATCACTTTCATTGTCTCTACATGTTCATCACATTTGTAAGCCTTCTGATCCTAATAAATACAGAACAAAGACCCACACTCAGGACTCTTGTCTCCTCCTGGATATTAGCCTCTTTTGTGTTCAATTCTGTGTCCTCTCTCTTCATGGACAAGAAAGAACTCCAGATTCAAAGCCTGTGACAAAGAATAAAGTGTCAGAGATCACTCTATTTGATATTAAGGCTTATTATATAGCTATGATCATCAAAACAGCATGGTACTGGCAGAGAGATAGACAGATCAATGGTTTATAAGAGAGAACCCAGAAATATACCCACACAAATGTATTTTAAATATTAAAAATAATATAATGAAATAGTAAAAGTATATCAATTCATATACTCTCTGGCACAACAAATACATACATACATACACACATATATACGTTCATATATTATAGATACATACCAGAGTCTAAAAAGACTTCTGTAAATCTAATGTGTGAACCTAGGAAGGAGTATGCTTTCAAATTATTTTTCAGCAAACGAGAATTCTGTGGACATCTATCATATGATAGGAAATGTCAGTCACTTTATTTTTATATGAATTAGTTGAATTTTACTTTCAAATTTCACCTCCAGTTATCATGGGCACTTGGGTGGTTAGATGGTTAAGCTTCTGACTCTTGATTTTATCTCAGGTCATGATCTTATGGTTAATGAGATTGAGCCCTGCCTCAGGCTCTGTGCATACAGCAAGAAGCCTACTTGGGATATTCTCTCTCTCTCTCCTTCTCTCTCTCTCTCTCTCTCCTTGTATTCCTTGCTCTCTCTCGTTCACAAAATAAATAAATAAACATTAGAAAATCCTTTATAGAACTCCTCCAGTTATCAGGTTCAATTACTGGCCACAGTGTATCACAGTACCCCGGTGGAAAAGATTCGTTCAGCATTAAACCAAGGTCTGAGGACTAAGTTCAAAGTCTGAGGTCAAGAGAAATACCATGTATCCCCGAGTCTTGCCACATCTCCAGGGGCTGCCATGGAGCAAGCTTGAAATCATGGTTCCTAGAAGATACCAACCTTTACTTTCCCACTTCTGGCCATTTGTATTTTCGTTGTCCCCCTGCATGTCCTACTTTTCTCTAGGTGACTGGTATTTAGAACAAAAGACAGGAATGGTGGTATCTGTAGACAAATCCTGTCCTTACTTCTGCCACATCATCCTACTTTGAAGAGATAGAGCATATACATGACTGACCACAATTGTATGAGGTTCTGCCATATCGTTAATGTGCACTCCTGACAGAGTTCACGTGGCCAGTGCTTATTGATGCATTTAATATCCTGAAATGGATTTTTTAAACAATCCTGTTAGAATCTAACCACTGTCAATCTAGGACAAAATGAATATTATCTGGGGATTAAAATTATTTTCATATTTGCTGTCTGTTTCAGCTTCTACCTACAATTATCTTACTAACTAAAGAAAAAAAAATGATGAGTTTTTGGCATTGAATTGAAATACTAAAAATAACAGGCAGAATGTTAGTGAATAACACAGCTGAGGGTCAGGAAGAAAGAAAGACCATTGTTGTGCCAATTACTCTGTGTTGATCAACTGAATGCATGTGACTGTGCTGATCATATTGTGCATCTGGACAGGCAGAGGCATTACCCATCTAAGGTAGAGCTGCCAGCATGGAGAGAAAATAAGGACTTTCAAATGTGAAAATGATTAAGGCATCCTTCCAATTCATCTTCAATGTTGGTAGAAAAAGAGGCTGCTACAATTCCAAACTGCAATGGTAATGAGCAAGATAATTATCCTCTTTGCATAACCTATACATAATTTAATTGAGCCTAATTCTCCTCTTAAATTCCCAAAGGGAGATTATTCTTGATGTCAGAAAATTTACCCTTGGGAATCTTTCTTTCCCACTCTACATATTCCCTGGATGGTGAAAATTACGTTGACTGACAAAATCCTATTTATTTTCCAAACATCATTTTAAAATGTTCAATCAAAAAAGTGTTTTACCAATTCCTGCTTGGGTTTGCTATTCTATCAAAATTGAGGTAAAGACATTCAAAATTTCATTTCCAATTTCTTTTAATATTTTAAAAATTTTTAATGTTTATTTATTTTTGAGAGAGACAGAGAGAAAATAGGGGAGGGATAGAGAGAGACACACACAGAATCCAAAGGAGGCTCAAGCTGTGAGCTGTCAGCACCGAGCCCGACGTGGGCTCAAACGCAAGGACTGGTGAGATCATGACCTGAGCTGAAGTTGGATGCTCAACTGACTGAGCCACCCAGGTGTCTCTCCAATTACTTTTAATCTTAAATAACAAAGCAGAATAGAGCAAATGTGTGCACACATGTGTGCACACACACACACAAATGAGCAAAACAAACAAATAAGATTTTGCCACCAGTCATTTTAAAGAGCTCTAATAAAAATAATCAACTTCTTCTTTCCTGTTTCTTTATCATTTATTTAAAAAAGCATATAAATGTTAGGGCTCAAGATCCATATATATGTATATTTCCATTCCAAAGTTTTGATGTTACAGATAAATGGAAAAGAAAGCCTTATGAATGCATTATATATCCATTTTTAGGCATATATTTTTATGCAAATTAAATAGTAATATTCTCTGTTTCCCAAATGCTTTATGTTTAAAAGTGATTTTAGTGGTGCCTGGGTGGCTCAGTCAGTTAAGCATTTGACTTTAGTTCAGGTCATAATCTCTGTCCTTCCCGTGCTCACACTGTGTCTCTCTGTCTCTCAAAAAATAAATTTAAAAAATTTTTAAAGTTTTCTTGTCACTATGCAAATAACTGTCAATTAAAGAACCCTTCAAATAAAATCCACCCTGCCTATAGTGTTGATGTGTTTATTGGCTATAAAACCAGTTTCCCCCCTGCATCCCTTTTCCCCCCAAATTCCCTATGATACCTATAGATGCTCAGCATATAAAATTTTAAACGTGTAATAAAGCAGCAGCTTATTTATAACCACTCATTATCCCAAAGTCTGCTCAATGAAAGGATATTTGTTATTTGTGTACATATAATTCTATTTCCCAATGTATTTATAAATGAAATGCTTTTCTAGGAAAAACAGCAGTAATAATTTAGCCATATCTCTGATTATGTAATGAAAATTACTCACCATAACTTCTGCATTTGGGGAGAAAGTTGTTACCAGTGAATGGTAACTTTTATTTACCTTTTTCTCCTTCTCCCCTAAGAAAAGTGAGTGATTTAACAGACAGGAGGGTAGAGAGAGCCTCTGGTTCCTCGGCTGAATTTCTTATCCAGTGGGAGGAAGGGGATGAATTTAAATCACAATAAAGACTTGCCATTCCCTATACCATATATTGAGGCACAGTGGATATTTTTACTGGTTATTTCCATGGGGACGTAAGTAAATAAGCAAGATTTACTTTTACAAGCCCATCATC